GGAGCGCCAGGCCTTTGAGCAGACTGATACGAGCCCCGCTGTCCAGCTGGCAGGAAGGGCAGGACTGAGCGCGCGCGTAAGTCCATCACTCAACATTTGGTCAGTCTGCTAGGCGCCTGTTGAGACGACGGACCCGTACCGACGGCGGCTTCGGCGATCATTAATCCAGTAATAATACATTAAGCTAGGCGGCATATGGACGACCCAGCCCCCAAGTGAATCGTGTTAACTGTGAAGAATAAACGCGTCAAACATCACGGCCATTCCCAGAAAACACGCATTAAATCTTATTAGAATCAGATCAAACTCGCCAAATCGCCCAGATAATGATTGTTGGCCATGAAGTCAGCACAAAGCCCAGGCGTCAAGTCTGCCCAATCGCCTTCACACGATGTCGAAAACAAACTATCAATAAATACGATCGGAAACGACCAACAAGCCGCAATGGTGCCAAACGTATGTACATTGCGCATGCATAATTGAACGCTGTCTGCTGAACACACTCCATCGTGACCATTCAAGTCCTGTGCAGCTACAACGCAGTATCACAGCCGCAATGGTGATGGATGGGCGCCCTTCCCGGGCACTGCATGCCTAGAGAAAAGCCACACGAAGCCATGGACGGTGCGCTATGCTCCCAGCGAGAAGTCACGCTCGCACTGAGCGGAGTGCATCCAGCACGTCACGGCTGGAGAGACAGTGATCACGACAGGACTCCTTACCGGCGGCTCCAGCGCAGCTGAACGAGACAAACGCGTGTTAGACAGCCAGTGGCGATGCGCGGAGCGTACATTGTCGAACAAACGGTATCCAGTGACAGCGCACGGAGCGTCGGCGCAGTGTACGAAGCGGTGTTCGCCACCTGTCGCACTGGTGACCCATCCCACATCAGGTCACCGAACGGGTCGGGGCGCGACGGCTGAGGCAACCCACTCGTCTATCAGCGAACTTCGACCCGGCAGACTTTCCGAGCGGGCGTGTCGCGGCCGCTCGTTTGGAGGGCTTGACTGCCAGACTCCCTGCATCAATCTCCAGCTGGACGACAGGCCGGATTGCCGAAAGTCTGACTGGCAGCGGCGTCCGATGGCAAACGGCCAGTTACTGCTGGAAAGGCTCGAAGCGCCGACCACTCGGCCGTCGCAATTTACCTATCTGGTGAACTATGCACCACCTGTCCATGACCCTGACTCGGATGGCAAACTTTTCGTTAGTGATGGAAAGGCATGTCTCAACCCACGAGTCAGCAACTTTGGTGGAAAGAGAGAGAGAGAGAGAGAGAGAGAGAGAGAGAGGAGAGAGAGAGAGAGAGAGAGAGAGAGAGAGAGAGAGAGAGAGAGAGAGAGAGAGAGAGAGGGATATATATATATATATATATATATACATACATATATATATATATATATTTATATATATACACATACATACATATATATATATATATATATATATATATATATATATATATATATATATATATGCAGACAGGTGCCTGGAGTCCCAGCAAGGCCTCCCAGGATCCGGTCCCAAGATCCAACCAACATGGAACCCAATGGGATCCTGGATCCACTATTGGAATCTGGGAATGTTTGGTGCCTGGTACAGCGAGTTTTTAGGTATCCCGTATATAGACACCAGCTGATAAAGAAAGGCCTACAAATGTCAACAATGGATGTTTAAAACATCAAAGTCATTCTAAAGTTCACACATCGCTGCTTAAATTCACCAAAATGATCGTCGCAACATGAACCGAGGGATGAGTTGCGGCCTGAGTGAGTTATTCCACCAGAAAGGCTGGCGATGGGCTGCTTCCCACCTCGAAGCAAAAAGCACACGTCTTCCCGATAATACAATTGAAGGAAACCACACACTCAGTGGTTGTTTTTGTGGGTGTGGCCCGCACTCGCCGAACGGTGCCGACAGGCGGGTTCGATATCGAGGGCATACATTGGCTCAGACCGCATACTCTCCAGTGCCCGGATTACAAAGGCCCTTGAAAACCCTCCGATCAGCTACAATACCACTTCAGCATGACCGCGTTTCATGGTTGGTTATTCCTTGCGCCAGCCTTCACAGCTGTGCAAACTGCTCCAGCCAACATCCGGCCCCGACAGCCCCCGTCGCGCCCCGGATGTCATCAGGAGCGACCGGTCACGTCCGACCTCACCTGATGCTGGGGCCTGAACGTGTAGGTGACCTGCTGCGGTCGCCCGGTCACCATGTCGCCTGAGGGCGCGCCGGCCAGCGACCGGCGCCCGTGCCACGCGGCTGGCAGGCGGAGAACGGACGGCGACGGACGGAGCGCGGCACACGTGGCACCGGAGGTCGCACGACGGGGACAGCGGTGTCGGCGGCTCGTCGGCGGCCAGTGGCCGGAGGTCGGCGCGGCCCAGCGGGGCGTACTCAGCCCGCGCCATCGTCCATCGATCGCCCCGGTGCCTGGCCTGCCGGACCAGGGCGGAGCTCCACCTGCCGGACCAGGCCGGAGCTCCACCTGCCGGACCAGGCCGGAGCTCCACCTGCCGGACCAGGCCGGAGCTCCACCTGCCGGACCAGGCCGGAGCTCCACCTGCCGGACCAGGCCGGAGCTTCACCTGCCGGACCCCACCTGCCGAACCAGGCCGGAGCTCCACCTGTCAGACCAGGGCGGAGCTCCACCAGCCGGACCAGGCCAGAACTCCACCTGTCAGACCAGGCCGGAGCTCCACCTGCCGGACAAGGCCGGAGCTCCACCTGCCGGACCAGGCCAGAGCTCCACCTGCCGGACCAGGCCGGAGCTCCACCTGCCGGACCAGACCAGAGCTCCACCTGCCGGACCAGACCAGAGCTCCACGCCAGAACAGGTCAGAGCTCCACCTGCCCGACCAGACCAGAGTTCCAACTGTCGGACTGGACGGGACCAGAGCTCTACCAGTGATAGCTGGCCGGACCTGTACCTGTGGGACCTGTGGACAATACGCCGACAACACCGGCTAAGCTCGTCCCATTTATCGATTACAATTTAGGCCTTTACTCAAGCAGAGGTCGTGGTAGCACACTGCATCTAGCCAGCTCCCACCGTGCTTCTCCCACCGTTCCCCGGAGGCTGCGCGGCGGCTGTCTCCGAGTGCCTGGGACCTTAGCCAACGTTTATCACCTGCCTACGAGACCACGGCCGGTCGTCAGACGCACGTGTCGGCCTGCGTTGGGCCGACGTAAGATCGGTTTGGGAGTGGGCAGCGGCCGATATCAGGTCAGCGGCCCACCGCAGGACTCACATGAGCAGGAACGTCGCCTCGTTCGGATCGCGACGGTGCAGCGCGTACATGTCCTGCGGGTCTCCAGATGGCAGCACAGTCTCGCCACCAGATCGCGGCACCGGCAGGCTCGCGGGCGCACCAGCACTGCGTCGGTCGGCGCGCGCACCTTTGCGGCGTCGTCTGCCCGGCTGAGCGGAGCCGGTCCGTGTGCCCTCAGGCGGACGGTCAGCGGGAATAGGCCAACACTCCGGCGCCAGGCCTCACCGGGCGCCGGGCGCAGAGGCGCTGCCGGTGGTGGGCACCGGTCATGGGACGCCTGTACGGCGGTGCTCCGCAGCGGTCGCGCGGCGCCGACCCTCCCCGCGGGAAGTGTGACGGGCGAGGCGGAGAGAGGTTTCGTCCGACTCACTGTCGGCTTGAGGCGGGCAGGATAGGTGCAGACCTGATCGGCTGGGGGGTGCCGAGGCTCCTGGGACCGCCCGTGGCCGCGACTGCGGCACAACTGCGCTGGGAAGGCCGCATCAGCCGCACACCTGTGGTGTCCCGACGAGAGCCACAGCCGCCGTCACCGTCTGCCGGTCCGCGGGTCGTAGCATAACCGCAGGATGCAAGCCTTCGGAAGACGTGAAAGCTAGGATTTTCCACCCGCGCCTGGTTTGGATGAGATGCTGACTGTGGAGCCCGAGATGAGCGTGGCTCTGGTCGCTTTGTCACGTACCTGTTAAGAGTTTGCGTCGAGTTTAGTTAGTTAGTTTAGCAGTTTCTTCTGGCATCAGGCGGAATGGCAGTGGTCGGTATTCGGTATGCCACTGAGGAGAAGGTCGCTGCTGGACCAGTCGACCGACCACTACAAATCACGTTTTATCTGACCGGCAACACACGTTTTAAAAGTGGCGACATATATAACTTGAGGCCTGAACAGTAGCGCATCCATGTCGCTGAATACCTCAGCTAATGCCATGCATATTGAGGGAGGCGTCAGGTGGTTGTGATTCCCACCTTCGCGGGCGTCGTCGATCCGACCGGCGTCACAGAGTCACTTGGCACAGTTCTGCGGGAGCCGGGGCGGGGGGGGGGGGGGGCAGGGGCGACCCTGGGCCGCGGGCTGCACCACACCGAGCGCCGGCTAAATTGGGCGGCCGGCGTGGCGCCGCCGCCAACACAGGCAGTCGCCGTCGATAGGTTTGGGTCAGGCTCGGTCCGGCGGCGCGGCCACGCGCGAAGATGAGGCCTCGACGGCTGTCACCGGGTGATCTGTCACGAGCCAGGACATGGCGCCGGTCCCCAGGTCAACGACGCCGGGGTCAGAGCGATGACTCCCCGACGGAAACTGACGTCCGACATGAAAGGTCCCTTCACGGCGGACTTTAGGCGACTGTTATGACATTCCAATTGCAAATAACGTCTCACTAATAGCCATCTATCAAAAGGACGCAGCCCAAATGAAAGGACGAGTTCGTCGCGAAGGTCACGCAAAAGTGTAAAGTTCTCGCGTTCTCATAGGATATTGCACAAGTCTGAGAACTGTCAACGGAGCGCTGACTGCGCATGCCATCATGACTCCACGATGCTGCGCGGCTGCTCGTCCCGCGGGCTTACTGTATTAGAAGCCCACGCCACACACACTCGCGGTCTGGCACGTTATGACTCCAGTGTGTCTCATAATGCCGTCGTGTACTATGACAACACGATCGTTCCTGACTTCTCTATTATGTCCATGGCATAGTTAATATAAAACCACTTATCAAAAGCCATGAGCACACGTAGCATATTATGGCCTGTGAACATTCCTAACTCACCGGAACTAGAACCGAATCACAATCACAGGGGATCCCTCTGTGGAGGACCACCTGCACAGCCCACTATGCCCTTACATGGCGAATACCTCACTACGATAGCCACCTGAGCACCGTCAGCTCCGTACACCGACCGCCACACCCGTCCAGTCCAGCCAATAGCGCACAATGACTCACTCTTAGCCTCCGCCGGCTGTCTCCCCTTCTAATCTCGCCGCACCCCTCTGCCCAACGGGTCTGTAGCACAGGCGTGGCCGGAGCCGCCGCCGACCGGTCCGCTAGAACGCGGACCGCGGCGCGCCGCCCGCCGTCGCCGCCATCACCGGCGCTCGGCTTCGCACGCCAGCCGTTCGTTCCTCCGCAGGAAGAACGCCTTGCCGCCCTCGTAGCTCGTGATCATGATGGCGCAAGCGGGCGCCACCTTGACGACACGCGGCACGAGGCCGGCGAACAGGCCGCGCACGCCGGCGCGCCGGTAGATGTCGCGTAGCGCGACGGCCACGCCGGTGTCCGCGCGCGTAGGCTCGCCGCCGAGCACGCGCTCCCCGAACTCGATCTGCCAATGCGTCTTGACCACGTCGAACGGCAGCGTGAGCACGGCGGCGAGCGTGCCGGCCGACGAACCGGCGACGAAGCTGAACAGCGGCGAGGGTGTCTGTTGGTTGAATGCCAGCTTGAGGCTCTCGTAGCTGCCCCAGTAGAGCGCTGAGAACGGCACGTCTCGGATCAGCGTGGGCGTCAGGCCCTTCCACAGGCCGCGCGGGCCCTGTTCGCGCAGCAGCTGGCGCACGGCCGCGCCCACCTCCGTGTAGCGCATGCGAGTGGCCTGCATGCGCGTGCGCACGAGCTCGAGCGGTGCGACAAGCGTACTGGACCAGACGCGTGCCGCCGCGCCCGCCACCATCGGCACCCACGCCGGCTGCGGCACCGCCGGCGTGCCCCAACGGTCGCGCAGCAGCAGCCGCGTCTGGTCGTACGTGGCGAAGTACACGACCGTCGAAGGGATGGCCGACACGAGCGTGGGCGAGAGGCCGCTCCAGAGAGATGCCACGCCGTCGGCGCGCGCAATCTTGACGGCCGCGTCCAGCGTGCCCGTGAAGGCTGGCGGTGCCGGTCGCCGGTACCAGCTGGTCTCGACGGCCGGGCAGCGCGCGGCCGGCGCGCCGGCGCATGACGATGCTGCCGCCGGCGGCCCGCCCTGGCCGTTCACGCAAAGGCAGAGGTGGTCCATGAGGCCGTTGCAGTAGAGAAAGCAGCGCTGCGCGGTGAGCGCGCGCTGCTGCGCCTGTAGCCGGATCTTGACGACGTCGAGCGGCGTCATGGTGAGGCTGGTGAGGACGGCGCCGGAGCAGGAGGCCAGCATCTGCTGGGCGGGCGTGGCGCGGAACGTGGGGTCGTCCACACTGAGCACCTGGCGCGCCATGGCCGCGCTCACAGCCGGCCGCCACAACACCGTCTGCAACCGAGGCCGAGGAAATCAGGGTCGGCTGCACTCGCGCCGGCGGCCGCGGCAGGAGCCACGTCACCGCGCCGGCGGCCGCGGCGTGAGTCGCGTCACCGGGCCGGCGGCCGCGGCGTGAGTCGCGTCACCGGGCCGGCGGCCGCGGCGGGGAGTGGCAAGTCCGGACATAAGTCGACAGGGACTGACCACAACACGGAGTGCAACCTCCCGATTTACCCGGTCGCGGATGCGTCCAAAACGGGCGATAACCAGATATCCTACAAAGCCAGGGTTTTTCAAAGGCAATAACAACCATGACAATGCAAACCACACACAACGCATTCGGGAAAACTCGCAAGACATGAGTGCAACAGGGTGTTCTTAAGTGGTGCAATAGGGCAAAAATATTGTCGAAAATGTATCCGATCCGTCCACGTTCGGAAGCATTAAACAACATCTCAATAACGCTGTCCATGTACATGACAATGGGTGAGCTCAACTCAGCATCCACAGACACTGAACGTATCCGCTGCGTGAAACAGAAATCCCCGCACTGTCTTACTGCCGCCGACGAGAACACGGACACCATCGCCGGCGAACAAAGACGAAACAATGTGCCAGCGCCGACCGGATGCCGCTGGGCCCGGCCTCAAACAAATCACGAGAACGGCACAAGTCACGGACTGTTTACAGCGGAGCGACGTGCCGGCGCTAACACAGGACGAGTCAACAGAGCGGGTCGTCCGCGGCATGGCGTCCTAAACATACGGAGCCAGCTCTACGCCGATGGCGTCCCGGGCCCGTCACTTCCCCACTCGGCTCGGCTGGCCCGCTCACACGCTCAGCCCAGAAATCACCTATGCTTGGGGGTGAAAGGATACCGAGAGCAAATAGTGTTCTTCTTTTGGCACACACCTCAAAACCATGGCATGATCATTCATTCAACTTTTGCATAATGTGGCAAATGGAATGACTGGAAGATTGTGATGAGCTCAAAGGAGAAGGTAGTTGGCATGCACAAATAATATTGCATATTGGGCTTAATACAGTCTACATGAAAAGTTCTGGATTCTTTGCATTTCTTTTATTAAAAGTTATACTTCTTATGAGGGGCTTGTGGAGGCTGAAAGAAAAGAAAATACAACCTGCTAAAAATCCATGCAAGGCTAAAATACTGACAACAATATGGTTGTCTTTCAAATGAAAAAAAAACGGAAAAAACATCTTTTACTATTTTCAGTCTATTTGACATTACTAACTAAAGCTGATTCAGCAAATATACTGACATTTTCTGCCATGCTGATTCTTCTATATTTCACATCAAGGGCAACAACAGAGCTGATGGCATGCATTGCTATTCTGATGGAGAATCTGTTGATATAGAAGTGTTCTCAATCTTCTGTCAAATACATGTTAACTATGTACACCAAACCCTATCACTCAATATATTGTAGAGCAAATATCTCCCAACAGCTGGCAGCAGGATGGGTGAGTTCAAATAGTTTCAGCACTTCCCTTTCGACCCTTGCTTCAACAGCCTGTCGCTGTCAGCAGTGGCTGCTCAAGGCCGGATGTAGTCACAGAATGGAGTGGAATGGACTAAGCATAGGGCAGGGCAAACTTTCACCACAGAATTCTGCCACAGACCTGGAATTTCATGGTCAGATGGAAAGTGATGGCAGTGCAAGATTTACAGTGAAAGTAAATACTTGTATGTAACCTTGCAAAACTCTAGGCAGTTCATGAGAAATCCAAGCATGTTTAATGCTCTGATTATTTTGTCACTGAGAGCAGCCACCTTGGGGACTTAGTGAAAAATGTGAATCATGTCACACATTCTTCATGGAGTAAAGTTGTCCAACATGCTGAACAAGAGTGTATGAAAAATGCCATGCTCCTATAGGTTCTATGGCAGTGTGCATTGCTGCTTTTACACACAATTGACACTCAATGTGGCCATGGCATTGGCACTTCACAGTGCCCTACCATAGGTCACAAATGCTGTTCCCTTGCAATGACCTATATTGCAACATCTTGGAAGTAGTGAATGGGGCAGGACCAGCAACATGAGTCTCTTGCAAGCATCTAAAGCTGTATCTTTTGTAATATAACCGGTATGAATATTCTTACCAGGAGTTTTTTGTCTGTAATGGATTTTAAACAAAGTAGTCATCTTGAAGACCATCTGGTGCATTTCACAGACCTACCCTTCTGCAGACCTGAATCCTGCTCTTTCCGAGCTACAACCCTGCAAAGATGTGCTGACTTTTTCCTGCAGAGTATCTTAAGTCACCAAGGCATCCACAATACCACAACATTGTCATTCAAATTGTCTCATTGTACTGAATATGCTGCAATCAAGGCCAATAAAAATATAATTGTTGCATTCTTTGTATGTGGGATTTGTAAGCATATAATGGTTCTTAATTGGGCCAATCAATGTTGTGGCACATTCAGGAGCATATTCAGTTATCACAGAAAATGTGTTAGCAACAGTTATCTCCCCCAAAATAAGGGGTCATGGTATACACATAGCTGTATAAACACAAAGATATACATGCATCTTACCATACCTGATGCTAGCTTTGATATCTTCAAATGTGGAACATTCCGTATAAGACACGTGGAAGTGTTCAAGGTGCAGCCTAGATTTCTGCTAAGGCCATGTTTGACACTTCAATATACTGAAGCAAGCATCAGAAGGTGAGACTCACTTATGACCATTGGTGTGATTTTATCAATCACCGGCAATACCGGAACCCAATTTACTGAATCAATGCCCAAAATATCGAGTGTGGATATGAAGCGAGCCGATTTCTTACCTTTCCGCTTTATTAGCTAGAACGACCGACGCCGTATCAAGCTCCGAAAGCGTTGAAAACGAGTCGAAAGATATGCTCAACCCGGCGACGAGCCCGCCACGTTGAGGAGAATACATGTCGACAATCTCAGCGCACACAACCGCACTACACCAGTACCACCTATTGGCATGAACTGAAGCCGACCAGACCGCTACGGTTTTTGCGCAGTGCGCGTAGTTGTGCCAACTTTCTGAAGACGCGACCGACGACGGTCTGACGCAAATGCTCCCAGCTGCCAACCACGAGCCAGTTTGGCACTAGAGTATGTTAGCGTCCAAATCTGGCAGGCTGGCGTGTGATCGATTTCCATCGGTCTCCGCGTATCTGGCTTTGAGTTGCGGTCTGTTCGAGCTGAAATATATCGACCAATTTAACATATTCGCAAAACTGAACCCAAGTGGGGAAAAGACCGATAATTCCAGGCTTGAAACTTGTGCGCTAAGCACTCCGCAAGAAAATTGCACCCGTAGCCACAAATTACACCGCTTATCTGCTTATTCGACACGCTCGCAAAGCCACGTATTGTTGCCAGCGGATTTCATGCATTGGGCGCAGTCTATTCATCCAGATAACTTTATCGTTATTGGAAGTGGACTCCGGATGAACAGATTTATCGATGGTCTGCTGGTTAAGTACTGCTTTACGCTGAATTTCCCTCCCCAACAGCGTGAAAATTTCACATTGGGCCTATGGACTTAAACCAGAAAGAATTGCAACCGATAGGCACCCTTCCCCCAATTTGGGAGGGCTTGCACTTGCGCTGCCTCTGAGCAATGATGCAAGTGAATCGATACATTTGACAAATCCGTGTTCAAAACTTTGAATCGATATCTGCGGTCATGAGGCTTGGGGAATGATGTTCGTTTGGTCCTAGCCCCTGGTCGATATTCACGGGAAGGTTCAATGTGTCATTTCCGTTAGTTGCGATCGTGGTAACATGCTCTTCATCTCGTGCTCGCCGTCAGACAGATGATCCGACGCTTTCGCCACATCAGACTTTCCGCCCCGTGTCTGACGTTTAATCTACGCTAACATTTTGTGCACGTGCTTAATGCATTAACATTCATTCTTTGTGTGCACATCAGACGACGTCAAAAAGTTAACAGGTAACTGCTGATAACTGATTCCTAGGTGGTGACTGGGATGTGCTTTTGACTGATTCTGCTCCAGCGGAATCCATCTGGACTCTGATTCGCAGTCCATAGAGTTAACTCAGTACACAATGCTGGGCAGGGTTGCGTTTCGAGTTGATACCACTTTCAAGTCGTACTGATCAGGGTAGATCAGTTCTAAGGCGTTCTTAAAAGGGAAAAATATCAACCAAAATTAACGATTTAATGAGCGATTCATGTATGTATGAGCGGTTGATGACTCAACTCCATCACTTACCAGAAAAGTCAGAGTGATAGTTAAAGGCGTAGAGGCAAGGGGATGCCTTCCTCCAGCGGAACGTTGGAAGCTTTACTTATCGGACCCTGGGCCACCCTTTTTGTTTTGTTTTGTTTTGTTTTGGAGGGACTACCGTAAGTACATAACCAGATGGACTATTACGACCGATGGTGTCCTTGATAGGTATGTTTCTTATGCTACATCCAAACAGTTGGTGTCCTTAGAGCCTCTGGTAGGAAATGCAGAGCTCCATGTGAAAAACACTGAAAAGTTTATTGATTTTGTTCATGCATATATGACAGATACATACAAGATAGATGAAATGATGGTTTCATTTCATGTAGAGTCGTATTTTACATCGATCCCACCTGAAAAAGGCTTGCAAAACAGTAGAAGAACGACTAATCATCGAAATGGGTAACGATAATGGAATGGTAGGGTGACGGCTGAGCATGAAGGTAGGTGACGTTATTAGACTCTTAGGTATGTGTCTTGATGCCACTTACCTGCAGACCAACAACGATTTTGATAAACAAACACAGAATACAGTAATGGATAATTTTGTCACCGGTTGGTAGTCAGTTCATTTCAGGAGAAAATGGCACGAGGGGCAATGGACATTTTCCTAGTGGCGTCAAGGGAAGGAGGAGACATTTGGATTACATGTTTGTCGTGTTTAAATAGCACCATGTCCCAGAGCTCCTGGAGCACTTAAACGACGTGTTCCAAGTAGGCAAATTACTATTTTGCTTTCCTGGACATCTT